CTTGGGGCCCAAACTCATGACCCTGAGATCAAGACCTAAGCTGAAATCAAGAGTGGGACATGTAACTGACATAGCCACCCCATCACCTAGGAAAGAAATGTCTTTTATATGTCATTTTAGTTTAATTACTTCTTAAGATCTTTATTTCATTGTATAGATACAAATTTCTTTTTTTTTTTAATTTTATTTACTTATTTGACAGAGAGAGATCACAAATAGGCAGAGAGGCAGGCAGAGAGAGGAGGGAAGCAGGCTCCCTGCCGAGCCGGATCCCAATGCAGGGCTTGATCCCAGGACCCTAAGATCATGACCTGAGCTGAAGGCAGAGGCTTAACCCACTGAGCCACCCAGGCGCCTCTAGATACAAATTTCTTGCTAGTATCATGGTCCTTTTGCCTGAAAGACTTCCTTTCACATTTCTAATAGTGCAGTTTGCTGATAATCAAGTATCTTCGTTTTGTTTACATTAAAAAATATTCATTTCCCCTTGATATTTGAAATGGAGGTGTGGAGCCTAATTTCCCTCCTCTTGAGTATGGGCCAACGACCATAATTTGCTACTGACAAACAGAATCAGATGGAAGTGACCGTGTGTGACTTGAAAGACTAGGTGTTAAAAGGCACCATGGCTTCTGCCTTACTGGCTTTCTCCACAGTGGGTGACAGAACCACCAAGCAAAGCCACTTCCAAATTTCTAACCCACGGAAACTAGGAGACAAGAAATTTTTGTTGTTTTAAGCCACTAAATTTGGGAGAATTTGTTACACAGCAGTATACGACTACCACTGGAGTTCTCTGGGTTTCTTGGATCTGTCATTTGATGCTTTCATTATTTTGGGAAATTTCTCAGCCATCATTTTTTGAAATGTTTCTTCTGCTCTGATCTCTCTCTATTCTCCTTCAGGGATCTCAGTTGCATGTATGTTAGTCTGCATGGTGTTGTTCTGCAGTGCTTGGATGCTTTCTTTGCAGTTTTAAACACTTGCCAAATCAGCCTCATCACGTCCCCTCACCTCTTAAGACATCAATCCCAGGTGAGCACCACTCCCTTCTCTGAGGGACTCCACAGGGATGTGCCTCTAAGCTCCTAAATTTTAATAATTCCAAATTCTTCCCTTTGTTCCCCCAGCCCTAGAGGGGTTAGCTGCTTCCTGAATTTGCTATCTTTGTGATCTAGTATTGTTTTCTTATTATCTCTTAACAATTTACCCTAATAACAATTTTTATTAACATTTTATCTGTTCAAATAGCAGGTATGGTTTCTGTTTTCTAACTAAACCCTGACTGACTCAGAAATTGGTATGGAGAGTCCCAGTAAACAAATCCTCGAAGACAGGATTCTGGGATTTGTTGAGTTGTGTTGTTGGACTTGATTATAGTGTAAGCTCCTTGCTAATAGAAGGTGGAATGTTGTGATCCATTTCATGACATGGTAACACAATTAGTCAGTATTACTCCCACTTACTTGGCCATGGAAACTTTTGTTAAAAGAAGCATCTCACAGGACTAGTGTTCAGCGGAACAAACTTTGGGAAATGCTGGCTTAGCCATACTTCTCTATTCAGTGAATCCTCCCTAAACACATTAAGTACGTTCAAGTTGATGCTCATGCTTTATCTAAATTAAGAAATGTACTCATCATTTGATCCTCAATCTATGTTATACATCAAGTGTTTAGAGCTTTTCCTGACACTGAATCCAAACACCTCCCCACAGGAATTAACTGGTTGTATTGCCTTATACATACTTCTAAAATGATCATTCTCACATTATATCATAGTTGTTTGTTTACATATATGCCTAGCCTACTAAAATTGGAGCTCTTTGAGAGAGTCCTTGTCTGATTCCTCTTTATATATCTCATGATGATCAGAGTGTCTGGCATATACAAGGTACAATTAATTGGTATGGCTATCATTCATGAGAATAGTTACGGAGGCTAGCTATATGTATTAAGAAAAATTTGAGCACTTTGAATTTGGTATTATTCCAGAAGAGGATAAACAGACATGCTTTGTTATTTGAAATGAATTTGTATATCATTCTTCCCGGGTGGTACAATTTCCTCTCAAGAGTAGAAACTTGTTTTTGTCTCATTTTACACTTTTGTTCACCCTGGACAGGCAAATAAATTCAGCTCAATAAGAATATACTGAGTAACTGCTGTATGCCAGGTACTATAGCAAACCTTAAATATACAAACATGATACGTATAAATGCTCATAGTTCAGCGGGGAGACAGACTCAGAGTCAGGGAAATTTTACTATCAATATGATAAGTACGATAATGAAAAGTATACACAAGTTGTAGGAGTTGTTTAGCAGAAAGGATAAACTCTTTATGAGAAGAATTAAGGAAGACTTCCAAGAGATTTCTGAGCTGGAGTTTGAAGGAGGAATAGGAGTTCTTTAAGCTGACCAGAGGCAAGGGCATAAATTAAAAACAAAAACAAAAACATGGAGGCAAAAAATAGTAAAATTTTGAAGAACTAAGAACAGTTTCAGGAGCATTAAGCACCAGGCGGTTTGTGGCAGAAAATGAGGCTGGAAATTTAGGCAAAGGCCAAATCATGAGAAGAGCCTAAGATGCCATTCTAAGGAACTTAAACTTATCAGTCAGGTTATGCGGAGCCAGAGAAGATTTTTCCTTTGCTGCATTGGTTAAAATATGTACTATATACATGGAACAAACATCTCTTGAGCACTATTAATACTGCAGGCATTTTACTGTGCGCTGGATTATTTCATGGGGTTGTACCTTAAAGGCACTTCATAAAGGACATTTTTGTTGTTAAGACAGATAGGCCAGATTTCATTTATATTTTCCATCCTTTCAATTGATCTTATCATAAACTTGCTGCAGGACAGTATTTCTAATTCTGTTGGTAATGCTAAGACCAACACTTTGAATCATTTCTGCCAGGCAGCAGATTTTTCAGGAACCCGCTTTATAAACTAAACTTAGTCTTCTATAAGGGGAAAATTATTTCCTTTATTCCCTTTCTAAATGTCATAGCTTTCATATTTCTGTTGTACATTACTATCTACATATCTCTATTTAAAATTAGCCCAAAGAAATCCACATTTTTTCAGCCTACAAACTCTTCTATTTAAAATAAATAGCAGAAAATGAGAATTTTTCTTCATTCAAAATGAAGGTAGTAAGCGTCAGGAAGGAGTCAGAAAGATTCCTGGAAAGTAGAAATAATGCATAAAAGAGTTAAATTCCAAGTATTATCTCAGTAAGCAATACTAAGATAAAAGTGGAAGTCTGGATATCAAAACACAGAATTACAGAGATAACATATAAAAGTCAAATGGCCATCACTTCTATAATAGAGGTTCAAGGGAACAAGTAAAACGTGAAATTTCAAAATCAGTGATGGCATAGACAGGAATGAGCAGTACCTTATTCAAGATGGTATTCTTATACAAAGCATGTCCCCAACTGTTTCCTACCAGTGTCCTGAATACTGGTACAAAAAAACCTTCACACCTAGAAGAAAACAAATGATCTGAAACCAGTTGCTAACTTGTTACCAAAAAAAAAAAAAAAAAAAAAAAAATCTAGTTACCCTGTTATAATTATTCTCTAAAAAGAGAACCAGAGGGAAAGAAAATATGCTTGCACTGCAAAGAATCATGAATTTTAGTTAGATATGGAGATGAGTGCCTTGAATGAGAAGGTTGCTCGATTTTGGATTACATATTGTGAAATCTTTTTCTGGATGTTTCTAGACATAGGCGGATATCTTGCTGTGAGCAAGGGATCAGACAAGATTTCTCAAGATCCTGTCAAGCCTGGTGATCTTCGGAAATGAAAGCCTAATTAAGAGGCTCCCTAGGGACAGGTCAAAGGAGTTCTTTTATCCCTACTGCCCCTATTCCAATTCCTTGATGCCTATTCTCCTTTCATTCAGCCTCTCTAAAACTGAAGAATACATATTATGCAAGTTTCCACCTTTGCTGCCTCTACTGTAAATGCATTAGACTATTAGAGTTAAGAATTTTAAATACCTCCTCCCTTATCTATAAACTGATGGGTTTTATTTCTGAATAGAGCTTAACATTTTAAATTCTTCTAAAATTTTTTTTCAGTTGGACAACAAAACTTTTTAATGTTAGAGTGACTATATACCATAAAAGTCCTTCAAATGCCTTTTAATAAATCTGATGAATAATACGTTGCCAAATTTCACTTCAGATTTGTCTTCCTTCTAGTTTCAAAGATTGTGTTGCATGTAATTACTTACTTGGGTTAAACTGTTAGAACCTATTGATGTGTCTCACTTCTTTGAAAGCTTTAGGGTAAGTGTCTCTACAGTATCATCCAGAGAGTAGCAACTGATGGATGTTTTAAAACCTAACATATTTTAAAGTAATTAATGCCATTCCCTTGATAGTACACGAGGAAACGTAGGGCATTTTATTGTTTTTTTCATATTCTCCGCTCTCTCGCATGAAAAATGTGACATTAATTTACGTAAGTTTTAAACAACTGTAGAGATGAAAATGTTCTAAGTATGACCATTCTATGTGAAAGAGTTTTCCGAAGTTTAGAAGCTGGTGTGGGTACTGCTGCATCCCCGACCAGCAGTCTTTCCTCAGACAACTCCACAGCGCCATGTTAAAATTCTAACTTTTAATTCAAAAATTTAACTTCTAAAATTCTAACATTTAACTTTAAGTTTCCTCTTACCAACGCTCATAAGGAACATCTAAAAATCAAGATAGTCTTCAGATGCTAACCCTCAGTAGACCACCGCTCCAACCACCATCCCAAATACTATACGCCAGCTTCGCTCGGGTCCGCAATTACCTGCTCCAAGTCTTTGGCGTGACGATATAGTTGCACCTGATTGGTGCATCGGCTTGTCAATCATAACGAGAGCTGGGTCCTCAAAGGCCCGTTCTAAATTAGACGCTGTGTTTTCACGTCATCTTCCGGCGACAAAAGCAGGAGGGGGGGCTTGTGAGCACAAGTTGGTGGTGGCGGGGGTAGCTTGCGAAGGTGTCATGGCTGCTGCCGTTGAGCTTAGTCTCTCGAGCAGTGGTGACAGGAGTCTGGAGCGGAGCTGCAGCCCCAATCTCTCCCAAGAGGTGCTCTGCGAAATCTTTCGCTCTCTGCATAGCCTGGTGGGACAAGTGAGTGGTGATCTGTGGGAGTAGCGGTATGGAAACTATCCGGCCCCTCCCCCCTTTTTTCCTCTAGCGGAGGCGGGGGGCTGCGGAGGGCTGCCTGGGACCTGGACAGTGTCTGAGGCCGGAGGAGGAGCCTGAACCCAGCCGTCTGCAGTCGGAGTGAGGATCGCCATACGGGCTTAGTTCAGGATGGGTTGCAGATCAGATTTCCTTGCAACTCTTCTCCCCAAAAGTGAGAGAGTATAGTGTAAGTGAAAAACCTGGCTCCGAGAAGAACATGCTTTGAGAGAAGGAATGTGTAAAAAGCTTTGTGGGTTTTGGAAGTTGCCCGGCGCTCACGATCCCCTTTCCTTCAGTGAATTCATTATAGAAATTGATAGGTTTGTACGATCTGAGAGTTTTGGAAAAGGTCTCTCCGCTTTTTTTTTTTTTTTTTTTGATGACTTGCTTTTAGGAGTCACTTAGTTTATTTCTTTTTTTCCTTCTGGATGTTTTGTGCATCTCTTACCCTTTCATAGAGGGAGGAAAATAAAAGGAATTAATGTAGATACTTCTTGCATAAAGTTGGATGAGTTATCCATGGTTGATACAGTTTGCATCAGACTGTTGTTTAATCGTCATTTAATTATTAACTAATTTAACTGGCTGATTAAATAGCTTCTGCAGAAATGTCATAATAAATTGGATTTAAATGAAAGTACTCCTTACACTCTATTCCGATCAAGTCACTATTTTGTTTCATGAAGTAAAATGGAAAGCATACTATAAATTAGGAACTTGAAAATAAGTTTGCTTGCTTTTAAAAAGGAAATATTTTCTCTTGTATCCTGGAATATTTTCCAGTTCAAAAAGTTTGTTACGGGGTTGGTACTAGTGCCTGTAGGAGGCACAGTGTTAACTTCCTTTATGAAGGCGAACATTTGTCTGATTTGTAAAAAATATATATATATTTTTAAAAGCCGTGGGTGGATGGAGAATAAATTTTTTAAAACGTTACTTCAATATTTTTAAAAATCCTAATATGTTTGTCATTACTCTAAGTTAAAATTTTGTTTGGTGTAACAACAATTATTAATAGATCTGCTAAAAGTTCTAACTTTTGAGCTCAGTTGTTTGCCACGGACTTACTAAAATTTTTTAAAGACCTGGGGCATTAATATTTTAGTTTTATCACCCAAGACCTGTAATAGTTTAGTAGTTTAAGAACGTTTTATGTGCTGGACATTAGAATTTTAAGGTTTATTTGTGTTTTAATGTCAGGATGAAAAAAGTTTATGCTCACCTATAATTTACGGAAGTTTTATTTTCAGTGGTGAGATTTTTTTTAAAGTAACATTAAGAAACAATTTAAACATTTCTTTTGAAAATTAAATACTGAATTTTTAAATCTCATTTACAAATCTTAATATATATATATATATATTTCATGATTTAAGTTCACTTATGTCACCTGTCAAAAATGTTTAGAGTAAATATTTGGAAAGTTTACGTGACACAGTAAAGGTACCATCTGTACAAATGTCAAGAAATTAAATCATTCTCATTAATTAAATACTAACCATTTTTATATTCTCTATATTTTGAGATGTATTGTTTAAAGGTAAGAATGAAAGCCACAATACTTATAAAATTGCCCCTGGAGGAAATCACTATTTACTTTTGCAACAAGTTTACAGGATGTTTTTTTAAAATGTAAGTTAAAAAAAGTTTCAATATGCCTAAATTTCATTCTGCATACTATCATTATATTGTTGGCTCTCCTCAATAGGAAACCTAAAACTGAATGTTAAAAAGTATTCCAGATTTCAAATTTATGGATTTTAACATTATTGCTTGCCTCTGCATGGCTCATTTTATCAAGTTGGAAGCATTATTTATTGTTAGCTTGGAGTTTCATACTAATTTTAAGTTTTTACTGAAAATGCATACTTCAATAGTCTATATTAATGTGAGACTAATACATTTTTGAGTGAATGATTTACAATTACAAGTACAAAAGGTAAAAGTGCAGAGAACTCATTACTAATAGGGAATTTGTTGAATAAATAGTTGGATATATTGGGACAATTTTAAAGTTAATCTGTATCATTATTATGTGGTTTTCTTAAAAAACCAAGTATCTTTAATTGTGTTTGAAAGGCTTACATAATTATGTTAAACTGAAAGGAAAGTATGATCCCAACATTACGGTTTATTTTCTGTAAGTTATTTTCTCTAGAAAACTTGATGCTTTATTTTGGTTAAGGATTTGTCTGTGTTATCCCTAAACTCTATCCATAAATTTGTTATCAACTGATTTTAATAGTCTTAGAGGACTGTAGAAGTGCAGTAATAGTTTACTTCCATATGTAAGTTCTTGTCTAATGAAATTTTTATGAGCATTAATATAAATTAAGATTAATGCAGTAATCTAATGTGAAACCGTAGTGATTATAAACTAATCTTTGCCAGTACAGCCTATCCGAAACTTCCTATTTCTTTATACTTATCTGATATGTACTTTAAATGTTTCTTGTCTTGTCTCATGCAAAGGGTGGTAAATTTTTGTCATATAGTATTTATTCAATACAGTGCCTTTTTTGGTAACTTTGGATCTCTGGTTCTTTGTACAGTGATTCATCTTTTTGTTTTCTAATCACAACTCATAACATCTATCTTTGAACTAATGTACTATTTGCCTTTATTTTGTTTTAGAAAACATGACTTTTAATAAAAGATTTCTGAAAAAACAATAAACTTAATCCTACCATGCAGTGTATCTTTATAGTATGCTATAAATGCATATCCCTAGAAAAGTTTTTGGAGTTTCACTTTTTTTTTTTTTTTTCTTTTTTTGGGAGGTTCACTTTTATTTGCTTGAAAGCCTGGAGTTAGAGGCTTTCCCTCTAAAATATCCACTGATTTTGATATTAATTTTATGTGTAGGTTCTTGGTAGTTTTCTATATATAATTTTATTCTAATAGGTCACACATAGCCAACTTATAAGAAGTTTTATATGACAAGCCCTCATACAGTATTAGAAAATACTTTTAGTGAAAGATCTGGCCATTTTATTCAGTCTCTGACCATTTATTTCACTATTGTGGAAGAGTATTTGTTTTTCACTTTAAATTTCCACAGCTAAATTTTAGTTTTTTATTTGAAGTAGATAAACATGTTGCCATTTATCCCTAGACTTTATAATATGTATGAATAATGTTGATTTTTAAATTATTTTAAAATTGTTTAAAGTTGAAAATAATAAAAATGTGATTCAGAAAACATCAGAGTAGTGATATATATCAGTTATGTCTTTGTGTACATATTTAACAAAAAGGAATGTTTATATCAGAAGTTTCATAAATGTGCCTCCCCTTCTGTTTAATGGTCTGAGCTAGAAGTACTGAATAGGGCAAGCCTATCTTGGCCCTCATCCAAAGGTTTTAGAAAATGAAGTATCAAAAAAGCCTCATCTTTCCATCTTTTGTGGATTGTTTCACCTGTAAGATGGTCCCATTACACAGACCCAAGAAATGAATTAGAATGAGAGGTCACTGGTTTTTTAATGAAGATTACACCTTTCTTGGCCCTTTAAAACGGTAATGAGAGCATTTTAATGTATCATTAAAAATCTGGTAACTTTGAGCTAAATAGGCATGTTACTCTAAAGAATATTATTTTTGTGACATCCCATATACACAGCTTAATCATGTAATTTTTGTGATGTTGCTCGTTTGCCCCTTTGAAGCTTAACCTCAGAGATGATGTGGTGAAAATTACAATCGATTGGAACAAGCTCCAGAGCCTCTCGGCATTCCAGCCTGCTTTGCTCTTTAGTGCACTTGAGCAACATGTTTTATATTTACAGGTAAATTTCTTGTTAAAAACATTAAGTCAGTATTGAGAATAGAAATTAATTATAGTTAAATGATAAGCTAGAGTATTTGTCAGTTCTGTCTTACCACTGTATTAACAGCGTTATCAATAAATGGTTACTTCAGCCAGATTAGATCCAAATCTGTTAATTTATATAGTGATCTGGACAGTCTCAGGAATATAGTCCGATAGGCCGATGTGGCTGTGAAGACTGAATGAATGCAGTTCTATTCAATTCTAGACTTGCACTGAAAATTCAATACAGTTGCATCTATGGTGGGTTATAATTAAGCAATAAGACACGGCAGGTGTGTGTCATGCTATGCTAATGATTCCATGCCTTGGGTGAGTTCGGAGGCTCATGGAGTGCTTTCAGTGGTTCAAGAAGTGGCATTATCCCAGCATGACACATCCTGGAGTGTCTATTGCAATTAAACAGTTTCAGCATAGTTTTTAAAAAGAAAGTAATTTCTGTGACATTAATGTCTCATCTTAGTAAGTAGCCAGTCACTATTTTATCTTTTCTTTTTCTTAACAGTTTGAAATAATTCATCCTCTATATTAGAAATCAACATTGAGTTATTTATAATAGTACTGTTATATTTTTTAATATTTCAGTTCAATAACTGAACGGTATTATGACCTTGCTGGTTTCCAATTGAACATCTCTGCAATTATAATTGTTGTTAAGTTTGCAGTTTATCTCTAACCAAAGTATAAAATATGAAGTGTCAAAAGGTAAGTGGAAGAACTGTTGGATTGGTCATTTTACTGCTATTAAGATGTTCTAAGGTTCCAGAAGAGTACTTGGTATAGTAAACAACAGAAGCAAAATTATAGGTATGAAAAAAATAACTGGAACATTGACAAGTATGGGTGTGTTTTGATTAATGGAATAAACATTAATTTTCAGCCCTCTGTTTAGTGACTTTATGGGAAATTTTAACTCTGTTTCATGTTGAAATAGTTAACCCTGATATTAATGGACAGAAATAATGAGCGATAGAACTCAATTGAGGCCTGATTAAGGGGGGGTGGTTTTGAGTAGTATAATTTACATTATACAATAGGGTTGTTTTTTGTTGTTTTTTTAACCCACTCTACTATAGTGATAGGCATATATCTCTTCCCAGCTGTGGATCTTGGTAGGTTTTTTTTTTCCCTTGTTCATTTTCTTTTTTAAAAATTTAATTTCATGACCCAAGAAGATATCTTGCCATGTCAGGAAAAGCCTAAGTGTTCACTCAGCATAACACCTATATATTTCATGTCTCTGCTCTCTCCTTCACTTTGGCCAACTGCAGTTTCAAGTGGAGAATCTCCAGTGATACAGTGATAATGCAGGGCTTTGCTGAGTGAGAGCACTGGCTCTCATGTTAAGGAGGAAAAATACTAAGCCTTAGTGTTCTGAGGAGGCATTTGAATGACATGTTAATTAAGTGGCATTGGTGCCAGAGGCTGAGGCTTTGATTTGGCACAAAATAAAAGATGAGTGACAGAATGATTCCCTCAAAGAAAATTTTAAATTTCCTCAGGTTTTCTTTATTTCTATCTTTTTTAAACAGATTTATACCAAATGATAATGGTCACAATAGCAGAGAACAGCAAACACTTACATGTGATCAGATCTATGTATACTGATATGCTAACTTTTTATATGTAACTGATATTAAATATTGCATTTACTTAAAAGAAATTTATATAAATGTTAAATGTATAATTAATTTTGATCAGTTTGAACCTCTGCAGATGGAATTCTGTTCTTCTCAGCCTTTTTTAGCAAAGCTGCAGCCTCTGATTAAAGAGGAGAATACAACTGTTGTTGGAGAGATAGAAAAAACAGAAACGGGGAACAAGAGTGAAGTAAATGCCAAATTTCCCATTAGTGACCTACAAGAGGAAGAAAAGCACAAAGATTGTGATTTAGGAGATGTGAAAAAGACACAGATCCATTATGATCCAGAAGTAGTTCAAATAAAGGCTGGAAAAGCAGAAGTAAGAAGGTTTTATTTGGGGGGGGGAGTATTATTTTAAATCTTATGCTCAAACTGTTAAAACATGCATACTTATTGTTTATAGATTGACAGACGAATATCTGCATTTATTGAACGAAAGCAAGCCGAAATCAATGAAAACAACGTCAGGGAATTTTGCAATGTTATTGATTGTAATCAAGGTAACTACCTGGAAGAAGTTAATTTTCATAGGATTTTAAGCACAGTTTTTAGAGTTGCTCTGATTTTTCATTTGTTTTTAAAAATGAATAACATTAAGTCACAATTTATTTCACAGGTTTATTTAGAGACTAAAGCAGTGGAAATTCTTTCTGTTTAGTAAGACTACATTGCAAAACGGGTTTCGTTTTGGTTATGCCAAAATCAAATAAATAATTGTGGACATAAAAGGGCTAATGTTTACCACAGGTGAAGATTCTTTTTTAAAGTTCCTTTGGGAAATGAAGATGAAGTATGGGTGGCAGCATTTTTCAGTCTCACTAATAAAAAGGAACTAAACTATATAAATTTTGAGCCTGTAAATGTATTTTTGAAATTATGTTAATATATAAGTAAACTTAGTAAAGTTAATACTCCTCAAGAGGGAGCAGTTTTCTCACTACTCCTGAGCTTTCTGAAATGTTTTGTCATGATAAAAGCAATCTGTCATCAAGACTATGGTGTCTTACGCTTTTTTCCTTTTTCTCATAGTGTATACATTTGCTATTTTTCATAAGATTCTCCTTTTCCTCTCTACTTGATGCTGTAGTGTAGTTACAGATCTGTATGTATGCTGTAGAATACAAAATAGTGCAAAGCACTGGCATAGATCTTTCTCAGGCATCATAGTAATAATCAGAACAAGTAGTTCTTAGAAAAAATTATGGAAAAGAGTTCCTAATTGGAATGAACATTTTTCATGTTGCCTCTGACATCTCTTAGCTAATTATTATGAATACAGAATTGTCAAATGAACCTAGAATTGACTCTTACATTGGTATACTGATTCTCTTAATAATGAAATAATACAGGCTCAAGTGGGTCCTAAATTCAGCCTTTTCTGCTATTAACATTATACATGCGTAGACTTAGTATTATTTTCCTGTTAGCTTTTCAGAATAGGTACAGTAGTGGCACAATCTCAGGTACTACAATCCATCCAACTGCAGGCAACCCATGAGAAAGGGTTTGTTGAGGGAGCAAGCACATGTGTCACTAATGTTATTCCTCTGTTCTCCCTGCTAACTCTATTATTATAAACCACCAGGGGATAGAAATTGACAAGAATTGAAATGCTCAGCAGGATTCCTTGGCCCATTCAATCCCTTGCTGGCTCAAAACAGTGCTAGCAAGAATTGCTGTGGAGAGTGACTAGCACTCACACATTCACTGTCTTCACACCATGCTGAATTTCTCACTGATGGGTCAGTTAATCTATATACTTGGAATATAACTCTGGAATGGATGATAGCTTCTTTTTTTAACCCTTAGCCCCATGAAATGGGAGAAAGAGAATGGAGAAGTGATGGCCCTTTAAACGTATATTGAGGTGTCTCAAAAGAAAAAGGAAAGAAGAAGAAAATGATTCTGTTTAGTACCTATATATAAAAGATGAATTTGGAATTATGTTCACACAGTTTGATTTGTCAGCAGACCTATTTAGGAAACTCAGACTGAAAAAAAAAAAAACATGAATGTATTGTAATGTGTTAGTGTATTCCTTTGATACCTGTCAATCTGACTTAAGTATAAACAATAGATTTTTTTTAAATTCCATAGGGAAAAAATTTTCTTTCAGTATCTCTTTTACCATCTATTTTTTATTAAAAATCAAGGGAATTTTTCAGGAAATTTACTGCAGTGCATGGTTTTACTTAATGTCATTTTAAATATTATGAAACATTTTTATATTATGTTAACATTTTTCCAGTTTTCCCCCGGGTTCGTAATTTATCTCTTGATACCTAATTTGAAAAAAAAAAAAAAAATACACTTTTCAACTTAGAAAAAAATTGGAACAAATTTTTACAACTTATTTTTCCTACAATTGCATTTTTTGAAAAGAGTGGTCTGGAAAGAGATAGCTAACTTTTGGTAGAGATTTTTTTAAATTAGCATTGGAAACCTAAGTAAAGTGGAAAAGTATGTGTTATTCTTGAGGTTTTAAGATCTATTTTTGTGTGGAGTTCTGAAATAAAAATGTGTTAAATGTATAATTAATCTTTATTAGATGATCCTTAATTTGATCAGTAAATAATATTAAAATGCTGAATTTTTTAAGGTTTTTCAGTAAAAGTAATGAGTTAAATTTATTTCTATGATGAAATAAATGGAATAATGTCTCTTTGGCATATAGAGAATTAAGTGCTCTCTATAAAATATTTTCTCTAAAGACCCAGATGGTTTGGGGGAATATTGGTATTTATTAAAAATTAAATTGTGCCATTGAGTGCTAAGGACTTTTCTGTATGCAAATCTGAAGATTAGGTAAGATTAAAGATTATAAATTTTAGAGGGGGAAGTTCACTGTATTTTATCCTGTATGAGATGGTGATTTAATTACTATTATTTAAAATGATAATTCTCTTACTAGTAGTATGTTAATATGAATTATTAGGAGTTTATCAAAATCTCATACATTTGAAGTTAAGAATATACTTATACTCATCTAAATTCTCCTTAGAAAACAGTTGTGCAAGAACTGATGCTGTTTTTACTCCTTACCCGGGATTTAAAAGTCATGTAAAAGGTAAGAACCCACTATATATCTTCATCATTGACAGAAGCTTGTTCTAAATTATAAGCAAAATGAAATAGATATCACTTCCTATCTAAATTTTGTATATTTTAAAACAAAAAGTCTTGCCTTCTTACTTGGGTTGATGGTCAGATGGATTTTATGAAAAGAATATGAAATACTGTTAGAATTTCTGACTTTTAAGCCTATTAAATTTATATTTCAAAAGTTTCTTAATATAGTTTCTAGAGTTGTGAATACATATGGACCACAGACCAGACCTGAAGGAATTCAGGGGTCAGGTCCTAAACCTAACAGCTTGCTCCGAGATTGTGGCAATCAGGCTGTCGAAGAACGACTACAAAATATTGAGGCTCACTTGCGATTGCAGACAGGTAAGCAGAGTGCTGGGTGGTGCCCCATAAATGTACCTTGGCAAATAGTTAAACTCAGTTTATTTAGTTACAGAATTTCCATTGAGCATCTGCCATGTACAAAACATTGTTCTGGTTGGTACAAAAATGAATAAGCGTAGCCCGTACTCTCAAGGAATCTACAGTTCATGTGTTTATGCTCTTTTTCCTACTCTTACACTTCTCACCAACTTGAGACTGTTAGTAGAATGGGAATAGATTCCAAGTAGATCCTGACATTCTCAGTTTATTAAGTCACAGCTGAAAATTAACATAATCTTTTTCCTGCCACCAATTTCATAACTTAATGACTGTGTCTCATTCTTATCACTCACTGTGCTAGGTACAAAGTATTGCTAAGTGTGATCCTAGTCCTCAAGGATCTTTCAGTCAGGATAAGCATATATAGATCAGTAAATGCCTTAGAGGAAGTGAACTAACATTTATTGAATAATGCTAAGTGCCAGTTACTCTCAGAGTATTATCCCTGTCAACTCACTTAATATTTAACAGTACCCTTGTGAGTTGTTGGTGCCGTTATTGTCAGATAAAGAAAATGAGTTCAGAGACCTCAAGCCATGCCCAAGGTGGTAATGACAAGTAGGAATCAAACCTCAGTCTTAACTGTCTGCAAAGCCTGAGTCTCCCTCCCCATTTAGTTACCAGATCCTGTTGATTCTATCTTCTAAATATTGCTCAGATCTACCCACTTCTACTTCCACAGCTACTACTATAGTTGAAGTCACTGTGTTCTCTACCTCGGACTGATGAAAGGATATCAGTTGGTTGCTCTGCCACTAGACTTCTTCCTCAAGACAAATTCTATACCAGTAGCCAAATTGCTTTTCCTGAAGTTCTGATTTGCTGATCTTGCCACTCCCCAGCTAAAAATTCTTTCGTAGTTTCCTGTTACCCTTATATGCATACCAAACTTAGTATTTATTCATTCATTCCACAAAAATAAGCCAGGTGCTATTCTAGGCACCGGGAATACATGTGAACAAAAATTCTAGTATATAAATTATATGTTACACAAGAAGAGCTACAGATAAAGCAGCTTGATAAAGTGAAGAGAAGGGATCTTGGGATGGGAGGGGATTATAATTTTAAGTGGCATGATCTACATCTATAGTTCCAGCCCCATCTCTGGGCTTCCTAACTTCCACTCATTTTGCTGTCCTAGGGCCCTGACCCAGGCTTTCTCTCCTGCCCACACTTTCCCCTCTTGATCCCAGATGATACGGACTCCCCTTTCTTGTAGTCTCAATAGCACTTGGTACTCCCTGTCATCCTTTATAGCAGTTATCACAGTTGCATGCGTTTAATACCTATTTCCTTTGCTAGAGAGTAAGGTCTGCGAGAGCAGACAGTCATGTTCATTAACTTTGTGCTTGTGCAGTTTCTGGTACAAAACAGGTATTCATGAGTTTTTAAATGAACGATTGTTCATCTCACCTTTTCACATCATATGCAAAGTACAGTGGGTACACAAAGTTAGTGTTTAGCTCTCTCAGGGGAAGTCAAGAGATGGTACCCCTGGTAAAGTGACATTTGCACTCTTGAAGGATTAGTTGGGAATTTTTCAGCAGGCAGGAGCAAATTATTCCAAAAAGAGGGAACAACATCTGCAAAAAGCACTGAGGCACATAAATTAAGGAATTTCTGAGTCCAGTCTCACTGGAGTATTTCCCGAGTGGAAGTAGAAGAAGATAAGACCGAGAAAAACTTCAAGGGTAATAGAGGTTAGCATTAAAAATTAATCCTCTCCCCCATAACGAAATGCATTTTTAACAAAACAACTGTATAAAAAGATGGACTAGCTTATTAAGTCTAACAGTATCAGGGCATGGTGACTCAGTCGGTTAAGCGTCCGACTCAATTTTTGGCTCAGGTCATGATCTCAGGGTCATGAGATTGAGCACCGTTGGGTTCTGCACACTGGGCATGGTGCCTGCTTGGGATTCTGTGCCCCAACCCCCGAGCCACCTCTCTTTTCTTTCTGCCACTCCCCTCCCTCCCCCGGCTTGCACGGGCTCTCTCATTCTCTCTCTATATATGTATTTTTAAAAGTCTAATAGTATCAAGTAGTTAATTATGAAAAATATCTTTTGAATGCCTGCTGTGTGCCAAATGCTGTTTCAGACACAAGGGATACTTAAATGATATAGTTGCAGTCCCTAGCTTCAAGAACCTTGTTACCTGGAAGAAAGAATAATATTGAAGTAGAATGTTATGGTGCTATGAAGTAAGTGTATATGGTGAGGCACAAGGAGCCTCCATGTGAAGGCATTTTAGGCAATGCTCCACTGACTCAGTGAAGCTTGAACTGGCTCTTGAAAGATACAGAGATGAGCCATAGAGCATTCTAGGTAAAGGGGGCAGCAAGAGCAAAGTCAATTAAATACATTACTCATTTTACCTTACTCAAGAGTAAGAATGACCCAGATCCTGAAATAAACATTCTCAAAAAAGAAATCTATTTCTAGAGTTTTCATACTTAACAAGTTGATACTTTTGATAGGAAATTTGCCCATATGTTTTAATTGCATAATGATTATCTAATTATGTATTCAGTCAGTAAATATTGAGCACCTGTGTAGTTTGTGAACTGATGGTTCCTAGGTTTGTGCAGTGCACAAGGTGCACAGCCATACCTAATGAACAGAACAAAATTATGCCCTCCTGGAGCTTATATTAAAGTGGAGAAATGGGCAATAAATTAAAAAAAAAATAGGGCTGTCAGGTAATAAGAATGGTTTGAAAAAAAAATAAGAGAAAGGATAGGGATTGCAGTGGGGTGGGATAGGTGGTATCATTAGTACTTTTTAAAGGGTGGTCAGAGAAGTTCTTGCTGATAAGGTAACTTTTGAGCCCAGACCTGAAGTTGGTGAGAGCAAGCCTTGTGAATATGGAGGTAGAGGAATCACAGGTGTGAGAATACTCGGCCTACTTGAGTAACAGAAAAAAGGAATCAAGTGGCTAGAATGATAAGGGTATGGAGAGAATGTCCAAATTGTGGAGGACCTTGGATACTACTGTAAAGGCTCTGGTTTTTAATCTGAGTGAGATGCAAAAGTACTAGAAGGTTTTGAGCAGAGAAATGACACTCTCTGACTTTTACATTTTAAAAAGGGTCACTGCTGTATTGAGAATAGGCTATGAGAGCAAGGTAGAAACGTGGAGACCAATTTGGAGATGGTGGTATCCATAAAGAGATGGTGGGAGTCTAGACAGAATGGTCATGTTGTGGTGTGAGAAATAAGAGGATTTGGAATATAATCATAACCTGAAATTTGAGTAACCTTAATTCATCTTCCCCCTCCACAGAAAGGTTGTTAGGTAAGAATTATGATGAAGCTCCTCTTTAATATTATTTTAGGTTAAAGGAGGAAATGGGGCATGTAAGGAGAAACAGAAATTAAAGAAAGTGATAAATACATACAGCAGTCACTGAATTGGGCTGTTAGGTGTCCCTATGCATTTTCCTCTCAAGTAACTATCCAAATCTATCAGAAGTACACACTGTTCTATACAGGAACTCTTCAGTAGCTTGTAATGAATTTACAAGTAAAACTGGCAAAATAGGAAGCATAAATGGGGCTGGAGGAGAGGTGCAAAAGAATACTACACCCCATGGTGTATAATATTGAAAATGTGAACTAAGGATTTCGTTTTATTTTACTCTTGTTCATTATCTTCTCAGGCTTAAATATTTCCCATTCCTCTGCATAAGTATCTTCTTTGCACGTTTGTTTGTTTGTTTGTTTGTTTTGTTGTTTTTTGTTTTTTGTTTTGGAGAGAGAGAGAGAGCAGTGGGAGGAGCAGAGGGGGAGAGAATCCTGAAGCAGATTCCCCACTGAGCAGGGAGCCTGACACAGGGCTTGATTCCAGGACCCTGAGATCATGACCTGAGCCAAAATCAGGAGTTGGCTACTTAACTGACTGAGCCATCCAGTGCCCCTGCATGGAATTTTAAGAACAGAATTTGTAAGAAGAATTATTCAATAGTATTTCAGAATTTTTTTAAATGTATTTAGGTGGTCCAGTGCCAAGAGACATTTATCAGAGAATTAAAAAACTTGAGGATAAAATCCTGGAACTGGAAGGAATCTCTCCTGAATATTTCCAATCTGTAGTAAGTATAAGTGTCCTTTAAAAAAAACTATATATCTATCTATATATAGAGTTTATTTTGCAATGCTTCATCATGTTCATTTATCTGCTTACAGGTGAAACGCCATTTTAATAATTCAACAATGAACATAGTCCTACGTAGGGAGTTACCTAGTTTTTAAAAAAATTGTGATTCTAAACATTGTATTATTTGTAGACTCATTTTTTTTTTAAAGGGGTCCTTTTATTATATGTTACCCAGATTCTCAAACTTGAGCCATAATAAATCAGCCTAGGTAGTTGTCAATCCTGTCACTATGAACATGCCGTCTTGTAGAACAAAGGCTTCCTCTGGGACCCTGCTCTGTCATTTACCCTTCTGTCTCTTTAATCCCTCCCTGTCCACAGATTCCTTCCCTCAGCTCACACATGTTTGCATTCTCCTCCATACTAGACAAACACCTGAATCTGCCACCCTATCTTTTTCTTTACCTTAACCACCAAACTTTTTGAAAGACTAGTTAATATTTGTCTAATTCCTCATTCTAGCACTTATTTATTCATTCATTCTTACTCTCTTTTCCAGAGACATTAAGAAACAATGTTGTGCTGATAAGTGTCTCTCTGTCGCATCAGCAGGTTTTAGACAAGCGATCCTGAGCTGATTGTGTTATTTTCCTCAGTCTTTTGGGGTGATTATACATAACACCTGCCTTTTCTGAGGATTGGTTTTCTTTCTTTCTTCTTCTTCGTTTTTGATTATTTTTAAATTTTATTTCTTTATTTTTGGTTTTCTTTCTTTTTTTAAGCAGCATCATATTAGAAAACTAAATCATGTAAAAGGGAACAAAATTTTTTAATTTACTAAGTTTTTAGTGAAAATTTTACTAAAACTCCTATCTGAAAAACTATGTAAAGTAACTCATTAGCATGAATCATTATAAGTCACTGGTAAAAATAATTAAAATTATTTTAGGTACACCAGCAGTTTTTCTAAAGTGGCAAACTGGGTATTAGAGTAAGGTACAGAAAAGAAGTATTTCCAGATGAATAAGGCAGGTTATATAACAAAAGTGAGCAATGAAACCCAAAGTTCAAAAATTTAGAGAAAGAATTTCAGTGATTTATTCCCCTCAAATGAGGTTTACTAAGTTCTAAGGGCTGAAGCAAGGATTAAATGAGATAATACCAGTCAAGCACTTAGCACACTGCCTAGCACATGGTAAAACCTCAGTAACCATTAGCATTTATTTAGTTTCAGAAACCACGAATGAAGTAGCTGCATAAATGTAGATAAATCATACAGTTCCTCTGGCTCTCAGTTGTCTAATTTAGATTTCTTGGTTGTACTAAGTAATCACAAAGGTCTTTCAATTTTAGGATTATTCTTTGAATGTATCTTCCCAGAAAACTTGATAAAGTATGCTTTTTCTTATAACAGTCTACTATACATTGTTCCCATTCAAGCTGCCTTCATTAAGTAATCCCTAGGCAGGTTACTTTTCTAGTTCAATTTCATACTTTGTTAATGTAGTCCTTGTTAACGTAGAATTGATCTTACAAGAGAGTATCACAGTATTAGATGCCTCCAGAGAGATCTTGCTTCTTCATTAATCTCTTTCATTTTGACTTACAAAGCTTAACATCTACCTGTTATTGAACTTGGTTAGCAAAAGAACAGCCCTTCAAATCATTATTTTGTTTTGGGGGATCTCTTATACACAGCATAAAATGTTTAGACTATTTGGTTAAAGGTAAAATAGTCAGATTATAGAGGACCTTAACTGCTATACCCAGAAGTTTAAAATATTTAAAGTTTAAATGCTGTTGAAAGCATTTGAGCAGGGAGGTAACTTGAGCACATTATTTGGAAGATTTATCTAATACTGTTCTGGAAGGTAGATGAGAAGGAAGAGACTAAGATTAAGGAGACAGTATTATACTAGCTTAGATGTGAAGTGAGATCCTGAACTAAGGACAAGAGAGAATAGAAAAGATTAATGCAAGAGATAGTAGGAAATAAAAAGTTGACAAATACTGATAATTGATTGGCTGTGGAAAGAGACATAGAGCAAGGGTGAATCCACTTTCTGATTGGGAAAATTATATACCATCATTGACAGAAATAAAATCTGAAGGAGATACTTGGGGAGGAAATGTGAATTTAAAGTCCTATCAGGATATGCAGATAGAAATATCAGGTAAGTTTTTCAAGAGTAGGACTTGTATAATTGGGAGAGTCTGTAGAGGTGATGGTTAAAACGCAGAATAGGTAAGAACACTAAGACTATCAGAGGCCTGAAGTCTGCAACTCAGTGACTGCCTAACTTCAGCAGCTGGCAGCATTACAAATGTAAACAGAATTGGCCTGGATGTGTTAGGTTACCATACCTGTGATAAAACTGGTACTTTAAAAAAATATTTCCAATTCTATTAACAATATATATTTTATTAGAAGGATCACTTTTGGATTAGTATTGGAAATGACATGTCAAGTCAATAGTGAGCTGCAAGAAAGCACAAAACACTGAAAAGCTTTAAAATTAACTCTGTCCTCAAGGCCTCTGAATAAATATGGCACAGGCCCAAAGGGAAGGAAGATCTCATAGTCACCCTGCATAAGAGAATGAATGTGCCATCTTTAGGAGCTACACTCTTTGCTTGCAGTAGATCCAGTGCTAGGAATGTCCGTGCGCACGAGAGGAGTTCCACACATACCCTGCAGAGGATGTAACATGTAATTTACCACTCTTACTATCCTCATGCTAGGAGTACATGTGTGGCAATTACACATTTTTACATATCTTTTAAAGGTGTGCAGAAAAGGCTATATAGGCTGTACAGTCTTCTAGCTTCTAAAGTTAGTAAGGAAAATTTGAGCCCATTGAATTTCTTAAGGATTGAATTTTTGTAGAAACTGAATTCTGAACTCTAAAAAGATTTTAAATGAAATGTGTTTAATTCAGATTGAAATGTAGGTGAACTCTAAACACAGGGAAGACTCATAGTTGAATAGAGATTCATTATTATGGGTAACGTTAAACCACAGCATATGAAAAGAGAAAAGCTGACAGGAAAAATATATAAATTGTATTTGGTTCATAGAACAAAAGCAGACTGACTATATGAATTTCTTTTCAGTTATGAAACACATAAAACTCCAAAAAAATGTATATAAAACAGGAATTATAACAAAGATTAGTGTTTTGTTGCACCTTTTCATGTAATCATTCTAAAGAACTTTACTCTTCACATTTAACATGGAAAGACTTGAATGTGGTAATGTTTAAACAGTTTTAAGGGCATGACTTAATAAACCATTTAAAACATACAATCCTTATGAGTTATTTCCAAAGAATTACTTACTGATTTTAAATTATGACCCTTGAAACAGTAAATATAACCTGCTTCACAAGTACATTTTTATAGCACTTTGTTCATTTTGTAGCATCTATCACTTATATGTTTACACATCTGTTTTTCACACTACTTTTTGAGCCTCTGAAGGGCAACTATGTGTTTGTCTTTGAACACATAGACCATAGTAGGCATTGAATAAATGTACAAATGAATAGCATTTGGCTGATAATTCACTGTCTGACTTTTGAAGGTCTGTTAACTTTCTTCCAAAGCACTGACTAGGTAGAATCTTAGCTCTAGTCTATAATGAGGGAGGGGAGAGTCAGCTGCATGTGCACACGCCCACATGTCCAAGTACGTGGTGGGCCTGAAACATGAGGTGAGAGCTGGATCTGGGTGGAAAATTAAATTGCAAACATATTTTGGAGGGCCTTGAAGGGCACACTAACCAGTTTGTAATGCCAGTGTCACTAGTGCACAATTAAGTTTCTGAGAAAAAGAAACCTATAATTTAGGTTCCTGTATGGTGGCATTATGAACTCTGAGTTGGAGAGAGATTAGAATCAAGGAAGATAGTTTAGGAAACATCATTGTCCACACTGGGGAGAAATGAAGATCTGAATCAGGGTGGTGGGATGGGACTCAAAGGGAGGAAATATTTAAGACACTACACCTAAAATAAGCCCCAAAGACCACATTTTACTGTTTTCAAGGTACTGAATCATTGGTGTCCTTATTCTCCTGATTCTGATACTTCTCAGTTTGGTTTTGTGATATGTTAATAATCTGATTGCTCAGTGACATGGAAACTATCAGTATCTTATAAACAGACAAACAAGGGGAAGTATATTTTAATCAGGTGTGTAAAAAGGCACCTCTTGGAAAGGTAGAAGACTGAGAAGCCTTCTGACTAAAATTAAACATTAAGCCCTTAACCTGCCTATGGGCCCCATCACAGGTAGCCAGATCAGTTTGGCAAAGGAAGGAAGCTGTTTATATAAGCACCTTTTCCCCCATATTTAATAATTCCAACACTTAATGATTTCCCACTTACTGTAACTACTGATAAGAGGCATATCTTGAAACTCTTTGAAACACTTTTTGACACAAAAGGAAATGTGAATTTTTACCTTCCCTTCTAAATCCCAGTGGTCAGAAATGTTCATGAGAACGTTTTGCCGCCTACATTGGCAGTTTCTTTGTCAAATGTACCAATATGCTAATTTGCTATTCCGAAGTTTGTGGTTCTATGAGACAAAGGACAAAATCTAAAAAAATTCACTTGGTCAGGGTTTAAAAGGTTCAGCAGCATGTCAGCGAGAATGTTGTCCACTTATGTTACAGACATTTTTACTCAAACTGACTTAAACAGTGCTTCAGTGTTACTACTATATACTTTTAATATCATTGTTTGGAGGGGACCTTCCAAGACACAAGAAGGCAGATGTCAGTGGCAGCTAGTGCTTGCTGAGACTTACGGGCTTTGTTTCTGCCAGGGTTCTCTGTATTTTGTTCAGTAGTCTGTAAATGAAAATTGTGTAGATTTTCTAAGTATTGATTGCTTACTTTTTTCACTTTTAATCTAGAGCTTTTCTGGAAAAAGAAGAAAAGTTCAACCACCTCAAGTAAGTTACTGAATTCTCTTTGTGGCTTCTGAAGTAGTTTGATTAGTTTTACACCTCCCTTATCAATAAAAGTTCTTACTCTGGTTACTTTTAGATCATACCTGGCATTTAGGACTGGGGGAAAAAAGGGGGGCAGCATAAATTTATGAACTTGAATTAAAGAAATAATTTTATTTGAGGGGCATGGAATGATTCAGAGGGGCCAAATATGAAAGTGTCTATCTAGCTGTTACTTGGAGCAAAATGTATCAGTTACAAAATGCTGAAAAATAATAAATGCTCAGGTGATTTACCCCCCCCTTTTTAAAGATTTATTTATTTATTTGAGATAGAAAGAGAGCACAAGGAGGGGCAGAAGAGGAGGGAGAGAGAATATCAAGCAGACATCCCCCACCCCCTCACTGCTGAGAGCAGAGTCCAGAGCCCTGTGCCCATGAAGTTTGATCTCATGACCCTGAAATCACATGAGCTGAAACCAAGAGTCTGACATTTAATTGACAGATGCCCCAGTGCCCTGCTGCACACCCCCCCCCCAACCTTTTAAGTAATCTCTACACCCAGTTTGGCAGTCAGACTCAGGACCCCTGGATCAAGAGCTGCATTCTCTATTTACTGAGCCAGCCAGGCATCCTGTCCCCCTCCCTGCTTTGCTGACACTACTAATTAGCATCTAAATAAAAAAAGGGTGTTTGGGCGATGTTGACTTCAGCCCACCACTGTCCATAGTACTACTATATGAATTAGTTGAATCTTAAATAGTGAGGTTCTGGTAGCTATTAATGGCAGTAATGTGAAATTAAAGTTGGAGAAAACTTTGAAAATTTTATTTATTTGTTTATTTTTTCCTTGAAAGATTTTTACTTATTTATTTGACAGAGAGAGAGAATACAAGCAGGGGGAGCAGCAGGCCTGGGGAGAGGGACAAGCAGGCTCCCCACTGAGCAAGGAGCCCGATGCAGGACTCCATCCTCGGACCCTGAGGTCTTGATCAGAGCCGAAGGCAGATGCTTAACCCACTGAGTCACCCTGATGCCCCTTTGATTATTTTTTTAAAGATTTTATTTATTTTATTTGACAGAGAGAGATCACAAGTAGGCAGAGAGGCACACAGAGGGAGGGGGGAAGACGGCTGCCTGCTGAGCAGAGAGCCTGATATGGGGCTTGATCCCAGGACCCTGAGATCATGACCCAAGCTGAAGGCAGAGACCTAACCCACTGAGCCACCCAGGTACCCCGCCTTTGATTTATTTTTTAAGAGTAGCATACTACTTATTTTTTTAATTGTAGAATTTTGAGTATATTTTTGAGAGCATCCATTTTTTCCAGGAGAGTTAGTTGATTTGCAGTTGACCCATCAAAAGAGAATTTCTAGCAGTTAAGCTAATCCTAAAGTTTAATTTTTTTACTGCTGATTATGAGAATAGTTGGTTAAAGAAAAAGTTTTTACAGTCCTTTCAGAGAGTAGAGAGGTCCAGATCTTTGTCATCAGAAAAGAGAAAGAAACATTAAGTTATTAAAATCAATAACTTAATAACCTTAGTTATTTTATTCCTTTAAGTTTATGATATAGTCAACATATATAGTTCAGTTTAAAAATTATTCTTGTGAAGGAAAAAAAGGACATTTACCATATTTTAGATATAGTTCATTTAGCACTTTATCTGCATTAAGATACTTCAGAGTCCTATTCAGCAATCTGTATTCTTGTTGTTTACAGCAGAACTACTCACTGGCTGAACTTGATGAAAAAATTAGTGCCCTCAAACAAGCCCTGCTCAGAAAATCAAGAGGAGCAGAACCCCTGGCTACTCACCACCTTCCATGAAAAACTCTTCTCATTCTTGTCATTTGACTTTTTTATATACGTGTAACTTACCCTGCAGTTAATTCAATGGCTGTGTAGTCATCGGTGTAGCTTCCCTCTGAAGGCAGTGTTTCTTTTCATGTGAGTCCACGTGCAGCACGTTACCTTCAGATATTCCAGTGGATTTTGAAATGGTTAGGCAGTAAAAACAGCATTGTCAGTATGTGTTCCCTTCTGTTTTAAAGGAGGTATTCTGGAAATTGAGAAACTTAAATTGAAAGCACATCTGTGTGTGTGTGTGTGTGTATACCACAGAAAGCAAGATTTATTTTGAATAATATTTAAAAGGACTTTATATTTGTAACATCAGCGTTAACCAGTTCATTAGTTTAAATCCAACTTTGTACATAAGAGGCATTCACAAAAATTTATCAACTGAATATTAAATGAATGCATACACTTTTTTTAAATGTCAGTTTTAATGTAAATAAACAGTAGATCCCACCTTTATTCCCTTCCTGACTGTGTGTCCTTGAGCAAGTTAATCTCTTTCTACCTTAATTTCCATATCTACAAAACGGCAGTAATAATAATAAAACCTAGAGTTGTCATGAACAGGTGAGATCATGCATGCACAGCTTTTGAAACTGGCCCAAGGGAAGTGCTCAGTAAATGTTAGCTGTTACTACTGTATAAAACCAAGTCTGTCTTTGAAAGTCTTTAGATGTCATAAATGTCCCGCTCTCAAGAGCCTCACTTTTTTAGTGTCCCAGTTATGTTAGTGTATGTATTTCCGTAGTTGCAAATTAAACATTTAATAAGATGCAGCTACAGTCAAGGAGCAGATATTTAGGTCAAGAATTGTTTGGCTGAAGAGATCAGAAATCTACCTAAAATAGCCTGTAAATAGGAAGTTGTTAAAAAGAATCAGAAATCTGGAATTTAACTGCAAGAAGTATAGCCAGACATTGTGGTGTCTAGGAGGTCACCAACAGTTCATCTCTTTCTCTGTGTCTGCAGTGGCCTCTGGCTGTTTCTATGACTAGTTCTGTCTCTGTCTCCTACCTTCCTTATTTTTGCTCGCCCTCTTCCTGTGTCTCTTTCCCTCTCTCTCTCTCCTTTGTTCTTTTTCTCTTACACCTAAGCATCCGTGCGTCTGGTTTATTCTATTTGGACTGATTTCCTCTGAAGGCCTCTACATTACTGCTTCTCCACACAGGGCAACATGCTAGCCCTGTCTCCATAGCCTTGGCATTCATGCCTTTGAGTTGCCATGGTGCAAACTCCGAATCCAGCTCTGTAGAACCTCACAACTCCACTGACCCACTTACCTCTTGGTATCTCTTAGCTCAGCTCCTGAGACTGAAGCTCACTCAGCATGATCAGGGGTCTCAGGCAGTTGTGGCCAGGATGACAGGGCAGGACCTTCTCACAGAAACAGGCAATATGCACACGACCTCACGCAAGCATTTGCAGAAGCCTTGACAGTGGAGTCACCTGGTAGAAAATGGGGGCTTTGGAATCATTCCCAAGAAGTGGATGTGGACTAGGTATATTCCCTGAACATCTTTATTCTCTGCAGAACAACTCCTCCTTCAAGACACAGTCTCGCCTAATGTGATCCAGTTTTAGAGGTGCAGCTACAAGCGGCTGCTCCTCAAGTCTCCAACTGGTTGTTGTAATCACCATCCTGCCTGAATGACCTCCTCTGGGTGTATCAGCACATTTTACTACCACCACGCCAAAGATACAATAGGAAAGACGTCATAAAAATGATCAATTAGAAAAAGAGGTTGACTTAGAGGTAGGGAAAAAAATCTAGAAAAAAGGATCAAATAGTGGTCACTAGTCTGCCATTAAATAAATGTCCCCAGTCTGTTTCTTGACCCTCTTGGCAGTAGAATAAATTCCTAAATCATGCCTCACGGTCCCAGGATCTGTCCATTAGAAGGATTTCCTTTTCCCATCATCCTTCAGACCTTCTGAAAGGCATTAGAGTTGACCTCTCTCCACTTCAGTAAGTATTGTCTGGGAACAGCAACCTTTCTACTTGAGTCAGAACCTCCAGAAGAGACTAGGACCAACACCATATTGTTGTGAGTTGGTATAGGTGCCTTGTTCTTCTGATAACTGCCCCAGAATTTTAGTGAGCTTTCAGTCCTTGTCTTTCTTGAGTAGTACATCCTTGACTAAAAGGCAATGCCAGGAATTTCTGTGGGGTTAAGCCTGCTTCCTTGATTACCAGGCTACCTAATGACCATTCCCTCAGGTTTTTTGTTATTTTGGCTCTTCTTACACCCATTGTTCTTAATGGCTTTGTTCTCAAGAGAATAAAGGAGGCAAAGTGGAAAAAGGCTGCAGAACAGAAAGCACTTCTTCCATAGTCTAGCCCTAAAAATCCCTTCCCTCCACAGATTACATTCCAATCTAAGAAAGCGATTTACTAGGGGTCAGGAGTTAGCATGGGTGATAGTAATCAACATGTTTATCCTGCAAAAAAGGGCTAGGTTTCACAGACTATTGTAGCTACTGCTAGATATCTTCAATTGCTAGGCTCCTGAGCCCTGAGCTTCTCCAAATTCATGAGGAGTATCTGAACCTCGTCTTCAACAGTCTTAGTAGAAAAGACTTCCCTTTATGAAACAGATACATAAGCCCTGTCTTTCCCTATCTGCTTTTAGCCACACAACCTGGTATAGAAGACTTTTCACCACTGCATTTTAATCACGTCCATAGGGAATTAACCCATTCCTACATTTCGACATTTGACAACTTTTAAATCTGAAGCTTTGTCTTTACTGACATGTGGTTTGGGGTCCCAAGAGATTTGGGACAATTGCTTAGCTACTGTGCTGTCTCTTACCTCCATTCTACCAGTTTTCCATGAAGAGGGAATCCTTTCTGTCACTCCTGTCTTTGCACCATCCCTCTGCCTGTCACAGTTAGTTCTTCCTTTTCACTCAGAGTCTGTTACTTGCAATCCCATTGCTAGCACTAATTTCTGTTTTAGGGATTTGTTGTTTTCAAAAAACAGAAACCCAACTCTAACTTAAGTAAAGGGGTGTTATAAAGAATATGAGTAATTAAAATTGTAGGAAGTTCAGCCAGATTTTGTCACCGTCTCCCCCTCACTGGGTCATGTTGCCTGGATTCTGAATATCCTTTTCATTTTGCTTGACCTCTCTGAAAATGTCTTCTTTTCTGCTGCTTTGCAGTCTAGTTTTGCATAAGACTTTGAGGTCTGTGGTGCTGCTATCTCTGATCTAGCTCTTTGGCTCTGGTGCCCCATACTTATTATGATTCAAAATCTGAAAAAAGAGGAATTTATATTCAAAACTGTCTACCCCTGCACCAATTACCTGTGGCCTGAGTGTTAGGATATCCAAGAACAAAAAGAGGCGAGGCACGTGCACCCAGTCCTTTGAGGAATGAGGGGAACTTCCGGCAAAGAAAGCATGGGCCAAAACTCTGCCCCTGTGACCCAGGCTGATGAAAAGTCCTGTGATCCAAGGCTTTATAAAGTTTTTAGTTCTCTAGGAAATACTCCCCCACCTCCATGACTTTATCTGAGATACTACGTGGGTCCACTGAACAAAATTTTAGCTCTGGGTTTCTTTTTTTGAGCAGTTCTAACTTTATAAAGATTGGTATTTCATGACTTTTAGTCTTAATATTCTCCAATGAATAAAGAGAAAATGTGCTTTTAAAAACAGAATAAAATATCCTTTAATTCCCATATAGGTCCACTGGACCCTTTTATAACTCTAAGATACATTATGGGATCTCAGTGATTTAATTCTTCCTACATATTTTCAAATATTTTATTTCATCATCCCAGGAATTATTTAATCATTCCTAATCAATTATTTCCAACTAGACTTTAAAAGACTAAAATAGTAAAGAAATGGAAAAATGATGGAATACCCTAGAAGAAGAATGTAATAGTATGTAATAGTAAAATAAATGATCATCCTTCAGTTTTCATATAGCATCGCCCGAAGTATTGCATTATATTTCAAGAAGATATAAAAATTTGGAGAGACACCATCTTTAGAATTTATTGTTTTGGGTTTTTTTTTTAAAGCTTTTGGTTGATTATAGTTAATACTTTAGAATTCTTTGTTTTGATACAGTGGCGAGTAGAAGGAAATTAACAGAAGAATTTCTACAGTTATTAAAGGAATCAAAAAGTAAATGCAAAGAGACAGAGGGCAGTACTTGACACCCTAATAATGCTGATGAGATTGGCATGCAAGCAAAATCTCAGACTATGAAGTCTAGGTTGTATACTCTGTTTTTTTTTTAAATTATTTTTATATTTTTAGTACATTCATAGACTGTATATTCTAAATCGTTTTCTCAAACTTAAGAATGGATGAGTGAACCATATATTTCTAAGAACAGTTAGAAAATCTGGTATTCTTATCCACTTATTCAACAGGATGGGCTTCATCATGCAAATTTTACAAGGACCTGGACCATCTAATTTTGCTAAATGGGCGGTGTGGCTATATTCTTTCACTTTTTATGATGTTTATGCACCAAAATTTACTTGATACAATTTTTTTTTTTTTTTAAGGAATGCTTATTTATTTTTAAAAGATTTTATTTATTTGACAGATAGAGATCACAAGTAGGCAGAGAGGCAGGCAGAGAGAGAGGAGGAAGCAGGCTCCCCGCCGAGCAGAGAACCCGATGCAGGGCTCAATCCCAAAACCCTGAGATCATGACCTGAGCCGAAGGCAGAGGCTCAACCCACTGAGCCACTCAGGCACCCCTACTTGATACAATTCTTAAGTTGAAAAATGCTGAAGACAGCTATGTATACAAAGGTGACTGAAAGGAAACAAGTGATGTGGAAATGAAAATATTACTGGACTGGTCAGTGACATTGCTTATAAATCTAAAAATTAAAATGTTTTGAAAAAATTGCCATCCTTCTTCAACAAAATCATGTCATCAGTTTTGCATTTTCATGATGCAAGTGTAAGAAGAACCAGCAGTATAAATAAGCTTGAACCTAATAAAAATGTATTTGAAATCTGGAGTTACTATTTATCAGCTGGATATGTTCCAGGTTCACACATGGCAAGTGATGAGTGGTTGGTCACATTCAACTGACATTGTCTATATATATATTTCATTTCACATATACATACACCTCTAAAATGTGTGTGTGTGTGTGTGTGTGTATATATATATAATATATATGTATGTATATATGTATCTTCAAAGCCAAAATATATGAAATAAAAATTGTGTTTACAGCTTAAATTCTTATTAAAGTTCCTAATTGAACTACCCCCTTATACTTGGTAAATTATTCATTAAATGAATTAAATATATATATATATTTTTTTATTTGAAGATTCACTGGACCCAGATGGTAAATGCCAATGACTATTTTTCCTGGTATATTGAAAGTTAAGCTGCATTTTTAAAATCTGAAGATCTTTGTAAAATTCATATATGCCTAACAATTTCTTATAATGATACCAAAGTAAAAAAAAAAAAAATCATATACATAGGCAAGGGGCAAGCTAAAATTACTTTCAAAGATTTAATTTTTAAAAATGGTTCCAAGAAATTTAAGACCTATGAGATCACTTCCTCACACACTTCTAGGAAACTTTAGTCAAAAGGAATGAATAAAACTGAGAAAATCCTTAGACTGCAAGAGGATCGCATGCTTCTGCTTTTTAAAAAAGTAATTGAAGTAGCTGGCACACTGCTTTCCCTGTGTAAAAAGTTGGGATCATTCCAAAAACAACCCTTCCTTATAGGACAAAATGCTTCAAATGTTCTTACTTACCTCTTAAAACTTGCAGCTCTTGGTAAGCACAGAACTGTCAGAGGAATTTATTACTGTGAGTACTATTTTTGTGTCTTTTTAAATGGCCTTTCTAGGATGTCCTTTATACTGCTATAAATCACTAGGAAATAACTTTTTTCCAAGTTGTTTTTTTTTTAAGATTTTATTTATTTGACAGAGACCACAAGTAGGCAGAGAGGCAGGTGAAAGAGAGAAAGAGAAAGAGAGAGAGAAGCAGGCTCCCCACTGAGCAGAGAGCCTGATGCGGGGCTCGATCCCAGGACCCTGGAATCATGAACTGAGCTGAAGGCAGAGGCTTTAATCCACTGAGTCACCCAGGCACCCCCCCCCCCAAGTTATCTTAAAAGCATGAATATTGATATAGGTTTAGATTATCAAACAGAAGGGTTATTAATAGATTTTGCTACTCTAGAATTGTGGAATTAGCTTTTTTAAAGTATGAACTATTTAAAACATACAAAAGAGTATAGGCAATAATAAATATCAAACCACCACCCAGTTTTAACAGATGTTAACACTTGCATTATATATTTCAAGTTTATATATATATATATATATATATATATATTTTTTTTTTTTTTTTTTTAAAGATTACTTATTTATTTGTCAGAGAGAGAGAGAGAGAGAGAGAGCGAGCACACCAGCGCAAACCAAGCAGAGAGAGGCAGGCAGAGGGAGAAGCAGGCTCCCTGTCTAGCAAGGAGCCCAATGTAGGACTCATTCCAGGAACTTGGGATCATGACCTGAGCCAAAGGCAGAGGCTTTAACCCACTGAGCCACCCAGGCATCCCTCACTTCTTATTTTTAAAGGAACAGACCAGGTACAGTTATAGCAAAACCCAATTGCCTCTCACTCCTTCCTCTGTCCTCCCTCTCTCCCTCTATCTTTTATCAGACGGAACCATAATCCTAAAGTTAGTAGGCATCATTCTTATGCATTTTTTTTACTATTTTTTAACATATTACATTAATTGTATCATCCTTGTATTTGCTACTTTTCAATGAACACTGTTTTTGAGTTTTAACCACATTGATTTTTGTAACTATAGCTTGCCTATTTTAACTACTATTTAACATTGCAAATGTATAAGTAAACTAGATTGTGTCCTTCATTCGGGGGACCTCATGAGGGACACTAAAATTGTTTCTTCTCTTTTTAGTTCTTTGCAATGCAGCTTCTGGAGTGGTAGCTTTTCATGCACATAGCTTCCTACCTTGGAAAACAAGCTACCCTAGAGGTTTACTTGAATGTTATTTTTAAAAAGGGATGCAAATTATTTCTAAATAAAAATATTACAGATAGAACTGGACATATCTAGCAGTTGACAGGAAAGTATAATGAAGCATAAAATGTATGTTCATGTTTAACTGTGACAATTCTGTTTCTTTCCTGTACCATCTCAGCTGATTTTAACATTTAGGGCTTAATAGCATGGGAAGTGTGCTTTGAAATTCACTGTTGCTAAAGAACTTTAGCCTTCATGTAGCAGCCTATTTAACAGCTGCTATTCACTGCTCTTGGAATCCTGACCTCAATACAAAGACGAGCATAGATGAACTCTCATGCCAATGAACAAATCTGGAGAAAAAAAAAATATGACTGATGCTTGAAAAGTCCTGGCCTCTGACCTTTATTTGCCTTTATAAGGTACAGTTGGGAAAAGAGAATTGAAAGGGCATTCTGTTAACCTTAGCCTGTCATCTGAGGCTGTCAGTCCAGTGTACCAAGATGGAAAAATAACAAAAAAGGAATTATGGAAAACTTATTCACTGAACATTTATTGAGTAAGAAGCACTACAGTGGGGCTGGGTATACACAGATACATAAAACTGATGGAATCTCTGCTCTCAAGCTTTAACCAATGTATGCCCTTATCCACAGCACTGACAACAGCCCTAGTGGCTCCTTTTCAAGAAAACTAGGGGTATCTGGAAATGCTCAAGAAGAATAACTAACATAATCAAGAGAATCTTTTTATAAAAATTACAGAAAACTTCTACTCAAATGGCTTAAACAATGAGGGTTTATTATTACACATAAAGAAAAAAAATTAAGATTGCTTAATGCACTAGTTCAGTAACTGTCACTGAAGACCTAGATTCTTCCCATCTCCTTGCTGTCACCTCAAGTCTTGATAGCGGCAGCATGGCTGCCACACTTCCAGGTGTCACATCTGCAGCAGGACAGCAGAAGCAGCATTGTGGGACAATGGCAGCAATTCTTTTCAGATGTCTCTTTTCTTAGGAGACGCGCTCTTACGTTTCATTGGCCAGAACTGTATCACCCATGCCTTCCTAAACCAATCACCGGCAAGAGGAATTACATTTCCATACCTGACTTAGACTACTTTAGTTCAATTAAAAATATCGAGCACAGAGGCGCCTGGGTGGCTCAGTCGTTAAGCATCTGCCTTCGGCTCCGGTCATGATCCCAGGCTCCTGGGAATGTGCCCCGCATTGGGCTCCCTGCTCGGCAAAAAGCCTGCTTCTCCCTCTCCCACTACCCCTGCTTCTGTTCCCTCTCTCTGGGTGTGTCTCTCTTTGTCAAATAAATAAATAAAATCTTTAAAAAAATATATATTGAGCACACACATGCCAAATGTTCTCTTACTTTTAACTGAAAAGACAAATACAAACAAACCAAAGGCCAAGTATTAGGTAAAGCTCAGGAATATGCATACAGTGATATAGATGCAAAATTTAAATCTCTGTGTTAATAAACTGATCGACTAATTTCTTTTTAGTGTTCCCATCAGACTACACTAGCTATCTGCTACTGGGAAACAAGATC